CAAATTATGGACTGTGGGTAAGGCTTCGATGCAATGGTTTTATTGACTATATAGTGAAGTGTAGGTTACGAATCAGAGTATAGGCATTAGGAAGGGTATAGTGTAGGATATTTCTTTACCATAGTAGGCGGAAAAATGGAGATTTATATTAGTTACAGATAAGGTAAGATAACGAGTGGTGAAATAATATTGATGGCAAGGCAACATAGTGTACAGATGAGTAAAAAACTGATAAATAGACAAGAAGTAACTCACACTAAATTCGCGCTGAGGTTGTTTTGTTATATGCTAACCGGTTGATGTGTGGCAGTAGTCAGTTGATTGTGCGTTTCTTCTGGTGTTTTAGGGTATTTATAGGCGTCGTTTAGCGACCGAGTATTGATAGATCCAGTGAGTTGCCTGTCTACTTCAATTGAAAAGAATGAGTGAGGGGAAAGTATCTAATACAACTACAAGGTAGGGAAATAAGGCGATTCAGTCTATATATGTAGAGAGCCTATGATGTCTGTGTGGGACGTGGATGTGTTCGTTCGCACCAGATCTATGCAGGTGAGGGGTTGATTAATGAGTCTTGTCGGAAGGTCGTTGAAGTACTGAGAAGCATTTTACTTATACTGACAAATAATTATAAGAGATGTGTAGCACAACGTATGCACTCGTTTTCCTGTGTGGTTGTGTGACTAAGAGCCTTTGGCTAGAGTGTGTTCGGTAAAACTGATAAGGTCAGCATCATTGTCGGAGACCTACGGAATTATTTTTCGGGGGGAATTCTTTGCAGTTACAGAGCTTCTAAATTACCAAATGGTAAATTTGCGTCTGAAATACCCTCATTATTTTTTTGGAAAACAGAGTTTGCAAGAACACTAAAAAAACTACATAAGTCAAGAACGAAACTCTTGCCAGTCGGTTGTTGACCTTCCGATCGGCATCCAAACAACAAGATACCAAGCATAGACGCCCTGGAAAACCTGGAAAATCAATTACGGTTCGTGACCACTCTGTCATAAACATGAATCTTATTGACAACCCCGACCTTCCTCTCAGTATGCAGGACAAAAATGATAGGATGCTCTGGGGAGAATTGAACAAGAGGCTTAAACTCCCTAGAATAGAGCCTTTGACGGTCACACAGCTCACTCGGGGGAAGGACTCTAACCACCTATACCACCCGAGGCTGCTTCGTGTTACACTTAAAAATGCCTCCGACATAGAGGACGACCTGCTAGCCAGTCACTTACTGAAGTTCGATGGAAACGTAATAATACTGCCCGACATACCATATTCTGAACGAAATCTCATCCGGAACATCCCTAAGGAATCTCGCGAGGCGTTTTTCCGTGGAAGGAATATCATTGTGCAAGGTGTGCCGGAAAATATGGACCCAACTCAAGCAAACTCTGATATTTGGGAATGGAAATTTATTAAGCATTCCTTAAAACTCAAGAACATATTGACTCAACAGGTAATGCGACTAACCAAGGGAGACGGAGATTCTAGGCCCCGATTGTTGAACATAACCTTCCCCTCCTCCCACATGGCGGCTGCAACTCTAGAGGCATTTCGTGCCAACAGACGTCGGTTGTAAACTGGCATCCATATGCATCCGTACAGCCTCACGACAGCAGGATCAAGCACAAACGATAGCTGGAGCTGAAAATTCCACTCGTGGACTATCTTAATCATAAAAAAACGTGTAAAGGACAGGGACTACCAACTCGGTAAACATTGTATATGTAGGCTACCTGTTCACTCACGCACAGCTCATATAGACACACAGGAAGAAGCTCACACGTTCTAAATTGAAAGCACAAACTGCCTACACACAAACGCCGCGAGCTTGCCAAACAAAATGGACGAGCTACGTGAACTTAGCAACGCTAATGATGCTCACCTGATAGGAATATCCAAAACTTGGATATCGTTTCAGTTTACGGACCAGGAGTTAGCAATGCCTAGAATCGCTTTATTTCGCAACGACGGAAAAACAGGAATGGGGGGTGGGGTAGCACTATACATACGGTCATGTCTGGATGCGCACCAACTTCACAATCAAGAGTTTCTCAATCTTGATGAGTCAGTATGGTGCTCAGTAAGAACTCGCTCTACGCGTCTTGGAATCTCTCAAATCCTGATTCTAGGAGACTTCAATCTTCCTGGAATCAACTTCGTGGAACATACATACATTGGAGGTGACAACTCGAGGCTTAGATATCCCACTAGCAACACGCGTTGGAATTTCAAAAGGTTGAATGTATCAGCTTTACACGACTATCTGGAGTAGGTGGATTGGGATGTTCACCCTCAATTTGAAGTGGATGCTCATTGGGATTTTTTACTGCACACGATCTTATATGCTACTGAGCATTCAGTTCCTAAGATGGTCCCAAAAAGCTACAAATAACCTCCAATCATCAAGAACCACACTCTTTGTTTGCTAAGTCGCAAAAGGCACTGTTGGGCTGAATATAAACGAACTGATAACAACGGCGCGTACAGGCAATACAAACATATAAGGAACATATGCACAAAGGCAATAAGAGAAGACAGGCTTCAATACCAGTCCAAGCTCTCTTCGACAAGGCAAAACTGGAGTTTCCCAACTGCTAGGTCCTAATGGCCTGACCAATAACGACAGTGATGCCGCTAACCTTTTAGCTGAACAATACTCTCAGACATTCCAGCCGACCAACATAAACTATACTGATGAAAGCTTCACGTGCACCTGTACAGGACTTTCCGAAGTGGACCTGAGTGCTGACCTGATGCTCCGTAAACTGCAGCACCTAAGAAAAGACGCTTCTCCCGGTCCGGATATGGTTCATTCTGATGTATTGAGGGAAGCAGCTTCAATCCTGGCGACACCACTTAGCGTGATGTTTGCACACTCGCTAAGCAGAGGCAAACTACCGGAAATTTGGAAGCTGGCTCACATCACACCAATTTTCAAAGGAGGTCGACGCAGTAAACCCTCAAGCTACCGACAAGTGGCCCTTCTCTACATACCTTCCAAAATTATGGAATCTCTAATATATGACGGTATGCAAGAATATTTATCATCTTCAAAATTCTTCTCACCTCAACAGCATGGTTTCAGAAAAGGTCATTCTTGTATGACCAACCTGCTGACTGCGGTGGATAGATGGACAACCATCCTTGATCGCAAGGGGAAGGTTGACATCATCTACCTGGTTTCTCAAAAGCTTTTGATAGGGTCAACCACGCATGTCTTATCAAGAAGCTTAGACGATTGAGTATAAAACCCCCCTTTGATTGATTGGCTCACTTCATATCTAGAAAACCGACACTTTAAGGTCAGGGTTAATTTCACCCTCAGGCTATGGAACGTCCTAGTGGGGTCCCCCAGGGCTCAATACTAGGACCTCTTCTCTTCTTGATTTACATTAAGGATCTTCCTCAACAAGTCTCATCTGACTTATTGCCTTTTGCTGATGATGTGAAACTTTGGAGAGAGATACGTAATCATAATGATATGCTAGTTCTTCAGGAGGATCTGACCCGAATTCAAAGTTGGGCAGACGACAACGGACTTACCTTCGACACTTCAAAGTGCAAAGTAGTCCATCTGAGACATGTTGCAGACTATAGCTACAACCTAGGTAACTCCTCCCTAGAAGTTTCCCAAGTTGAAAAAGACTTGAGAGTGTTGGTACCCTACGACCTGAAGTCATATGCGAACTGTGACAAAAACGCCCTTCAAGCAAAACCTTGTACTGGTAACATTGAAGCGCATTTTTGGCCAGTTTGATGGTGGAACCTTCCATATAATCTTCAACAGTTTTATTCGTCCCCATTTAGAGTACGGAAACATAGTATTTCCTCCCTCCCTCCAAAAGGATAAGGACACTCTGGAACGTATACAACGTCGAGCCACGAAATCAGTTCGGGGACTCAAATTGAAACCTTACGAAGAGCGCCTCCAATCACTTAACCTTTACCCGTTAGAGTACAGGCGTCTTAGAGGTTGTCTTCTTATGACTTACAGTATCCGTAATACTCCTGGTCATCCCTTCAAACATCTTCTTAAGCTTTGTCATAACACTAACCTAAGAGGTAACACCCAGAAATTGGAGACTCAACATAGCAGAACAGACAGTAGACACAACTTCTACTCCTTAAGAGTTGTCAAATGCTGGAATTCGCTGCCTACTGAGCTAGTCCAGGCGACTTTCCAGGAGTCCTTTAAGAGGAAACTTGACTTATTCTTAAGGACTAAGGATAACATATTATTATGATTTACCAAATTCATTTTTTCCTCTTTTATCGGTAATGTACCTAGGTTTTTGCCTGGAGGTATTGGTGATCCACTGCTACTAGACACGGAAGCCCGTTAAGCGAAAGCTTCTTCTATTCCGTTCTCAACCATTTGAACCATTTAACTCGTTGTATCAATACGTGATTGAAGCTTCATCTCCCGATTCATTCAAAGAAAGTTGGATGAACTGAGAGACCACATTGGCTGGATCATTGAAGGCTACTCAGCTCCCTTCCATTTCCAGACTGAAACTAAAACTAAGACTGAAAATGTATACTTTTTCTTGTTACAGACCTGTATCTGACGCTACATTGGTCTAAAACTACCAGTCCATATGATTCTGGCATCCGCAACTACACATACAATACAGGAAATTCCGCACTAGAAGTTTCTAGAGTTGAAGAATATAAAGGAATCCTGATGCTTGTTAAAATGAAGTCTTACAATTACTGTGATGAAAATACCTTTCATGCGAAACTTCCACTGGTACCATTGAAGCGCATTTTCGGCTAGTTTGACGGTGAGACATTCGGTTCTATTTAGAGTGTGGGAATATGGTGTTTTCTTGCTCACTTCAAAAGGATAAGCATACATTTGGACCTATCCAAAGATGAGCCACGATTTCAGTTCAGATAAAATTGAAACTGTAGGATGCTTTGTGCATTTTCAGTGAATGAGGTACTTCTTGCAGGCGCGACTTTTGGTAGAAAGACTACAATTGCCAAGGCATTGTAATTTCTACTTAGATTGTAAGGTTCTTGCTTTTCTCCTTAACTATGATTTACTTCCACTGAACGATGGCTCTTGTTAGGTTAAACCCAGACACCTTTTTCAAGTATGCAGCTCCCAACGTTTGTGGGTCTGTGATGTAAACTTGCGAATTAACACGCATATTTTTATTTGAAATGGTTTCAGTGTGGTGTTTGATATGTTTTTCATCATTAAAACATTAGATGCAGGTAAAAAAATGCACATATAAAATCCATCGTATTTTTAAGTTAGTGCTATGATGCAACGATCACATGTTTCAATATTATTGCTGTGTTCTTTGATTTAGATGAGTACATGTACATTTCTAGACGTCGCCTTACCGTTTCACACTGACGGTCATAAATCAACCTATTAAACAAACCAAAAAGGGAAATAACGAAGACACTCCTTGATGAAAATTAGGGGTAGACAAATGTGAAGAGTGCCAGAAAGTCTCCTTTGTCGCTCACTGTGGGGAAAACGAGGATGTTCATCTTGTTCTTGGTTTGAATGTTTCTGAACTTACAACAAATTGTCTACTTTCTAACCAAATGTACGCGATCTTTGAAACTTATTGCCTTACTTCCTGTCAGTCAAAAAATTTATTTAGATTCTTGATATGGCAGTTAAAATAAGTTGTTGATAAATCTATTATAACAACAAACGATTTGATATCAGAATAGTAGCTCAGTTTTCTAAGCAATTTTTGAGAAGTAGACCCAGTTAGCATCCCCTTCGTCAGAAACTTTGTATAAAGAAGCCCTATCTAGTTAGCAAATTACCTCGGAATTAAGAAAGTTCTGTCGTGGCGCTACGCTGCAACGATAGCACGGAATGAAAGCAGCACTACAAGAAATACTACTTCTGATGTAGGTTTTATCCAAAACATCGGATTCGTCACTTCTTCCTTTGTGAAACTTTTAATTAAGTAACATTACTAACAATAGACGATAGGCAATGTTGCATGGCACGGATTGCTTGAGATGATGGGGGATTTCATGCACGTGATACTGAGACCATGGTTTCATGACTTTTCGTTAACCTTTCAGAAACCCTGCCCACAAATTTAAAAACTGGAAATATCCGTAACGGCATTTTCGACCCAAGAAAGATCTAAATAAGATACTCTCAAATAGACTAACCTTTGCGGTAGAAAGATTATTTTAAGATACAAAAACCGATTATAGACCTTGGAGAAACTCATAAACCACGCAGAAATATCATCTACATTCAAATCTTTCGGTTCTTGTGGTAAATTTTTTATTCTGCCAGTCTACTTATTAGCTGGTCAAGTAAGGGTATAAAAATTCCAGAGTCACTCTTGGGGTTGCATAAAGGGACAAGCATTTTTGTACCAATCTTAGCATCCCTCAAGGAGGCCGCTATTATGAAGGCTCATCTCAGCCATCAATTTCCCTCATTTCTCCTAATCTTATCACCTTGGTGCAGTAACTTAGGGCTTGAAGCTCTATACTTTCAACCACTGGGTTACATTAAAGCCTTGCCTCAACTATTTAGCTTCGGCCATACTGGTGATATTAGTAGCTTTTACATAACGTGTTTTTGTTGAGTTGCATTTCTATTTTCGTATTGCATGGTATTTTAAATTGATATTTCCTATACTTACAGTCCTGTGATTTTGTGCAGAGATATTTGTTTTTCTAATTGTTGTACATTACGACCATGTTTCATTGCTTATAATGGTCATGAAGGCACTGCATAATATCTTTGAAATCCATATCTGGCGAAGTTATACGATAGCAGCTGTAAAATGAATGAGTTGGTTGGAGCTAGTAGGATCAATGTCTGACCATCCGAAAAGGCGTTCATGAAAACAGTCTACTTAATTTGATATCTACAAACTTTTCTAGGGTTTTTGTAAACAGTGAATCAATGAGAGAATCTGAGGAGCTTCGTTAGCTCTACTATAGGTGTGATGATGTACCAGAGCATTAGACGATCATAACTTTATTCGAATGTTATTATCACCTCACCTGTCTGGTTAGCAATTCAACATCACCTACAGATTCGTTATCTGTGGTCGTCACCCTACCACTTTGGTTGTGATTTCAGTTTTGAGTGTAGCACATTAAATATTTCTCGTCTGATCATTCATAAGTAAGTTCATCGTTAGGTACAATCTAACCATATCTAAACTCATGACCTCCCTCTTTATGTACGTTATTCAAACATTAAGCCTAAATGTATTTGTTTTACATAAGATAAGTTACGACATTTATCTAGTTACTTTTGGAGCCTGAAGCCAGTTCGCATCTGACTTCTTTGGACTTGGTCCACAGATAGAAATCCAATATTAGATGTCTTCGTTGTATCCTCAATTAGACGATTTGCTAACACTCAGAAAGTGATAAAACTTTTGGAAGAATTCCTTTATCTTCCATCTAAAGTGCAATAAATGAGGATGTAAGCAGAGATTTTGATCAAACTACGATGTTTATTCTTACCCTAAGGTCTTATCATTTTATCCAATAGGACAGCGCACTAACGACTTTGCCCCTGGAATCGAGTCCATGAGTTCCCGTTTTGCTGTTGAACTCGTCATTATACATACACCTCTAGTACTACGAGTTACTGTAAGTCTTCAGGTATGTGAATGGCTTATCTCAGTTTCTGAGGTGAGACCAAATAAATAGCCATACCCGAATTTATATACAAAGTTAAAATACAGCGTAAACGCATTGGATTATATAGTTTCAACTCATGAACCATGTTGTTTGGCTGCATATACGGTTCAGACACCGAGCATTACATGTTGACTGGCACACGGTTTTAGGAGACTCAGCGTAGCATATTTGTTTTGCATAAGTCGTTTTAATTTTAAACGGAGAATATAATTGCAAGATGGTGGCTAAAGGCAGTTGACAGTAAACCCTAAACCTAGGTTTTATGCCATTCGGCACTCGTCAACAAGGTGTACCTGTAAATTTAAGGGAACCTACGCTCCCTAGCATATCCGATCTCGTGTCACCTATCCCCTCAGTCAGAGGCGCTACAGTTTTTTAGTAATTGCCTTGAACTTTATATCCGGTGACAAAGTTTAACGACCTCAGGCCGGTTTAGCGTGACAGAATGCATTAGATGAAGTATGTGGTCATTAAATTAAGGGAGTGTCCGGTAAGTGAATTTTTATTTCACTCATTATTTTTGTTGTCATGAATGTATGAGATGTAACAGTGACTGGGTACTCAAACTGTGTCACATGAGTTTCACGGACCATCTGTCAGTCTCGATGATACGTAAAGACCGAATTCTTGGGAATCGAAAATTATTTTTAGTGGAGAATGTATCAACTACGCTCTTAAGATATCCTTCTACTCCTGGCTATTCATCTGAACCATTTTGAAATGGGTTTTCATCAACCTATTGTCTTGTTTTGTTTAATATGATCACTAATTATTCAAAGAGGTATTAATTCACTTGTCTTTTGCTCAATAAAATCTGTTTTGTACTTATAATTCCGTCTCTGTATTGAATCATTAAATTTTAAATAATACACAAGAAAATGTTTGAGTTACTCTATATGAATTTTGTCAGATAATCGTAATACTTAGTGGTGATAACCAGATGTTTTATACAACTTTGTTTCGTTATGTTCATAGATATAGGTTATGGTCATCAAGAAGAAAATATCATTGAAGATTATTGTAATCGGGGATAGTGGGTACGTTTCATTTTGAACGTTAGTGTTTAGTGTGCGAGTGTTGGGAAAACGTCTTTGATAACCCAATACATCGATAAGAAGTTCAGTAATCAGTACAAAGCCACAATCGGTGCAGACTTTTTTACAAAACAAGAGGTTTTTGATGACCGTCTTGTAACAATGCAGATTTGGGATACTGCTGGCCAGGAAAGATTCCAGTCTCTCGGAGTTGCGTTTTATCGTGGTGCCGATTGTTGTGTCCTCGTCTATGATGTTACTATGACAAGTACCTTTAAAACGTTAGATTCGTGGAGAGATGAGTTTTTGGTGCAATCAAGCCCTCGTAATCCCGAAAAGTTTCCATTTATTGTAATTGGGAATAAATGTGATCTAGATAATAGAGCTGTAAGTGATTGGTAACTTTTGTTACTGTGTACTTGTATTCTAAACAAGTAGGGAAATTACATAACCTTAAATGTTTTCATGACCTTTTATAAAATATTTCGCAATTCTTAGTGTAAATCTACCACGAGATGATGTTTTGGTGTATCTAAGCTATTTTCGTTGTTCATATATATGTACTTCAAATTCCATGACCTTGTCATCTAGCTAGAAAAGTTATTTAATCCAGGTACTGAAATCACTGTCAAGAATCAATTATTCATCAACTATTTGTTCATCTTATGCAACACCTTTCGGTTGTGATTCACATGCTATGAGGAATTCTATCGATGTTTGTTTATTATTAACCAATAACAGAAATTTAGGTAGGCTGAATGAGGATTATCATTTTTCTAATGCCGAACTAATTTAACTTAGTTTGCGCTGCTTAACACTCACAACCGAAACTGTGTGTTTACAAACTTCCCAATTTAACAAAATCTTCCGGAGGTCATTTCAGTTATATTTTGTAGTTGAACTTTTATGATAAACTGGTTAATTAATGTAAAGTTTCCCTCACAAGCGACTCACTCTCTATGACTTTTATCTTTTCTCACTTGACAAGACATCTAATATCATCGTTCTCCCCTGCAAAAGTAGAGTTTCTGTACAATTTTAGACATGTTTCGTATCTTAACTGGTCAGTTTACGTTTTGCCCATTTTATGTAGGTATCCGAAAATCGTGCAAAGCAATGGTGTCAAGCAAATGGTAACCTTCCATATTTTGAATGTAGTGCTAAAGAAAATACAAATGTTGAGAAAGCTTTTGCTCATATTATAGGAGTCGCCATAGACGAAGAGTCTGCGGTGAGTTTTCCATTTTTATCGTAAGATTAATTAATAGCTATTTTGTCTTGTTAAATAACATTGTTCATTTAGATTATTATCAACTGTGGACTATTTAATAGTGCGCTGTTTTTATCTGACTCGTTTAAAGCTTTTTACTCTTCTGTATGTCGACTTTATTAAATAAATATCTGGTGTTTGAAATCTTCACCTGGAGTTACAAAATTGATAGAAATGTACTCGAGAGTTAAAAAACGAAAACATTGGGATCTATAACTCTTGATTTTGTGCTAACACCACATTGTAAATTCACATCAGCCGTTTCAGCTTTTGACTAATATGTAACTTTCTAATACAATGATTATCAGTTTTGCTTAAGTGATAGCTATGTATCTTACCGTATCCATAAGTTATCCAAGTTCAGCAGCTTAACCTTAACATTATATATACGTGTCGATATATTCCATTTAGTCTGATTATAGTAATTTTGATCACATGAAATTATTGGTCTTTTTAATATTGTAAACTTTGGAATATTTTAAGTGGATAATACCAAATTGCATATATCATGGAAAATACTAGCTAAAAATCAATATTTTAAGCTTATTTTTCTATGAAAGAAAATAACGGCAAATTCTGTGTATGAGTTTAGTAAATCGATATTATGAACTATTCGCTTTCATATTTTACAACTTAGTTGCATGTTTTAAATTCAATAAGAATTGAAGATGAACAATTTTTAGACTCTAATTACAGTATGGTTTTTTAAAAAAACATTTAATCTCTTAATCATATCAATTCATATATCAGTCACGTTTAGCAATAACGAGCTAGACCAGGTTGTGTTTATGTAATTTAAGTTACCACTATTGATTGAATCATATCTATCCATCACCAGTCATTTATGACCACATTTTTGTTATTCGGTTGAATATTAATTAGTTTACGCACAATTATTATTGAATCATTGATATTTTACGTATTCCACAAATGAAGTTTATATTTTTAGTTTCAACACAGTCAGTCAGCTGCAACGTAGGACCAGGCACATATATGCATCGGTCCAAGTTGCCATACCTCATGAGCGTAACGGGATGAACACCAAATTCATAGAAGTAGCTAATTTAGTGGTGGTAATATATAATGGAAAGATTTTATATAAGGATATAGCACAGGAAGAAAGACAGATAGGAAACAATTCTAATCTCATAGTTTAAGGGAAGACAAAGAGTGCATACACCTACGCCATTGTGATCAATCCTGAGCCATGTCACACGTACCCCAACTAAGTAGTTTTCATCTATCAACATGGCTCAGACTAGAAGTTGGTGACTTCAAGCACTGATGCCGCGTTTTGGTTTGGCCGCCCCTAACTCTCATCCAACCATCTCCAATACTAGTCAGCATTGCGCGCCGTGGTAATCGGTGTTCAGGTATACGTAACACATGGCACAACCATCTCAGTCGATGAAGATTCATGACCCCGCATCTAACCATACTATTACTTATTAACCCGGTGATTCCGACAGATGCGAGCAATATTTCTAAGACACCTGTGGTCAAATACTAGTAACTTACAAATATCTTCTACTCTTAATAGCCACGTTTTGCAGCCGTAAAGTAGAACAGAATGAATTGCTGCACAGTATACTTGTCCTTTAATTGATAGACGGATATCTCGCCTTTTTCATAGGTGAAGTAAGTTGGCGAAAACTAGACGAGCTTTCTGAGTCTGTGCAGAGATTTCGTCAGACACCAACCCATTAGGGCTGATCAGACTTCCAAGATAAGTGAAGTTGTCGACGCGTTCGACTACTTCACTCGCTATCCTTAGTTCAGGTGTAGATGCAGGCCAGTCCTGGAGTAACAATTTACATTCAGAGGGGGAGAAACGCATCCCAAACATCCTGGCATTGTTACTCAGTGCTGACAGAAGACTCTGCTTTTTATGAGCGTCTTCATCAAACAGGACTATGTCATTTGCGTATTCTAAGTCGACAAGTGGATCTCCTGTTAAGAGATCAATTCCTGAAAATTCAGTCGATGAGAGCGTTATTCCCAGCAGTAGGTCTATGATGAAGTTAAATAAAATGGAGATAGTGGACAGCCTTGTCGGACACCACTTGAAGTTGCAAAATCAGATGACAGTTCGCCATAAGCTCTCACTCGACTGGTAGTGTCCGAATAGAGGTTTATGTACTTCTGAGGTACACCTTTCAATGACAGACACTGTCACAGAGCTTCTCGGTCTACAGAGTCAAATGCCGCTTTTAAGTCAAGAAGAACGATCATTATCGGACTCCGATAAGCATGCCTATATTCTAAAACCTGACAAATGGTGAATATAAAGTCGATACAGCCACGACCGTGTTTGAAGCCAGCCTGATTTTCTCGTGTTTGCAGTCTTTGTCAGAAGTCCGATAATTGTTGAGGCTAGTATTTTAGATGCTACGTTAGTCGAACTAATCTCTCTATGGTTATCGCAGGATGATTTTGACTCCTTCCTATATATTGGGACAATCAGTGATTGCAACCAGTCAAATGAGATTATAATCAGTTCCCAGATTTTAACTAAAATACTAGTCAACCTAGTCGTTAAAATTGGACCACTATATATAAAGACCTCTGGAGCCAACCTATCTGAACCAGCTTTTCTTCCTCGTTTCGGATTGGCTATAACCTTTTGAACTTCAACTAGAGTCGAGGGACCTACTTCGATGTTCGATTCAGGTTGTTTGGGAATAGTGGATAGTTGTAGATTAGCTGAAGGCTAGCTGAACAGCTCATTAAAGTGTTCCGCCCATCGTTCTAAACGCCTGGGCTGAGAGCAGATAAGTTTCATCTTTTCCGAGATTGTCTCGCTTACAATTGACTTCTTAATTCTAGTTTCTTTTATTAGTCTGAAGAGTTGTCTGGTGTTGCCTATAGCCACTGTCTTTTCCATTTCTTTTACTTTCATTGCTCACCACTGCCCACGATCGTTCCGTAGACTTTTGGTTAACCTAGATCTGATTTGTTTTCGTTCTTCATCTTGCTCAGAGCCTGATGGGATGAGTTTACGAGAATCCATCAGTGCAATAGACTTAGAAGAAATCCATTGTTGTTTTGTAACCCTTTGGTTTAAATTACTAATATATGTTACTGCTGTTTCCAAAGTTGTTCGTATATCTTTCCAAGTGACATCTGGTTCAGTCTCGTTCTCAGAATTACCTAAGTGTGACCTCAGTTGTTCCTGGAACTTACTTTTATATTTCTCGTCACTGATTTCAATTCTAATGGGTCTTCTTAGTGTAGTTTTTCTTCGTCCAGTGAGGCGCAAACAAATGCGTGCTCATCTTAAAGCAAGATCAAAGTCTAAACATGTATTCCAGTACGAGACACAATCTTCTATCGTGATTCTCCAGTGATGACTGTTGGCAATATGGTCTATTTGAATCCATCGTTGGTTTGGTGCAGGTAGTCGCCATGTAAGACGATGTCTCACCTTATGCCTAACATCTGTGTTTGCTAAAAATAAACGATTGTCTGAGCATAGTTGCAACAGACGATCACCATTATCTGTTCGCTGAATTGGGATACTAAAATATCCACCTAAATGTGTTTCTGTTTGGTTTAAGCTACCTACCTGGGCATTAAAGTCACCTGCTACGAGTACAATGTCTGAGCGTTTAGCTTTTTGAAGAAGTTGAGAGAGCCTTCTGTAAAATTTGTCTTTCACTTCATCCGGGCTGTAGTCATTGGGTGCGTAGGCAGAAACGATGGAAAGGCAACTACGTGTGTCCCTATACTTCCGAGTTCTTACGAAGCCGTTTAGCCGAACAGCACATAGGCGACTGTTAATGGGGATCCATTATAATAGTGTTTGTTCTGCTCTCGTACTAAGTGCTATGCCCACATCTGAAAGTTCACGAAATCTAGCCATAGGGTCGCCAGATACACGGAGGGTGTATCTCGTCGGCTCTCCATTTTGGCGAAGTGAGGTCAAGTGAATGACCACACTGGGATCCTGTATGCGTGTTTCGTAGACACAGCATACATCAATCGTATGAGATTCTGAGGTCTTAGCGAAGGAGACCCGTTGACCGATTTGACATAGAGTGCGTACGTTGAAGGCTTCAATGTGTAGTTTTGAGCGAGGTTTCAGTAGATATGGGGCGGCATTTCGCGCACTAGAATCTTTGGCTATGGTGACACTTGAGGAGGAAGGCGGAAGAGGACGTTTAGTGTTGAAAGTCGAGGTGGGAGGAATAATAAGAATTGAAGAAGGAGATTTATTATGAATACAGTGATCTTGAGTGATGTTAGAGGTATCAGGGCGGTTTTCACCTCTCGGTTGCCCACACCGTGGACGGGTTCTTCTAGAGGTACCTGAAAAGGAAATCGGATTGGAAGTGGTCTTAATGACCTGAGAGCGTGACTGCAGTGCTCAAGGGATAACTGCTTGAGATCGATCACCCACGACCTTTTTGTGAGTAATTTTTGTGTTAGCCCCGTATTAGTTGGGACCTTACCGCTGGAGACAGATATCCGTGGGATAAGGCGAGGTGTGCATTTTTGGGGTCGACCTTTTCTAACCCCGTCCCTCGTTGTGGGAAGGCATGTTATGCTGTTCGTCTGGAGGAAACACCTTACTGCCGTCATACCTCTGTACCATCAGCAGTACGACTTCGCCTTCGGAGCTTGGGTTTGCTACTTTTGGTCTTACCACTCTTCAACCAACGTGTTGCGCGTGGTAGGACCTTGAGGAACAATCGTTACAACCAATATAGCTCGATTGGTTCATCATGATATGCAAGCTTGGCCATCACGTTGAGGTAGCAGTAATGGTCGGGAGTTTCAGCTGGGTTAGACGTACATTTTATACTTTTATTGACAGAAAAGTATTGGGTCAAATTTTTTTTACCGATATTCTACATTCATATATGTCTTATGTAATTTATACTATTTATTTTTATGCTATAAGTTGCTCAGATTATTGAATTTAGCTAGTTTTTAAAGACTTCTAGTTTTGATTGCCTACATTAGGATGTCTGCCAATTTATTTACTTTATTATTTGTCCCCTTCACTTTGTAAGCTTTAAGATAAGCGAAATTAATGATCATGTATTATTATTATTATTAATGGCTTTATTCAATATTATGATCTGGTACAATGTAGAATTCTCACCACGAGTTATTTCAACAAGTTTTTTTACCAAAAAAAACAAAAACAGAAAATATATGAAAAAAAGGTTTAAAAAAATCTGAGTCTACAAGTTATCAAATTTAAGACATGCTTGAGAATAAAAGGTTATTTACTAGGTCAACTCTAACAGCCTGTTGGTCACAAAGTAAATTTGCTAGGTAAGGTGTTACAGAACTTTTATAGATTTGCTTGCGTGCATGGATTTTAATGTATTTTCGTCTCTACCTACCAGTAGGTATAGTGCTGATGTTATTTTATTAAACATGGAATGTGTGGCCAACCTAAAACTATGGAAACATATTGAGTTTGTTAAAAAAAAATGTATAAAGTTGGTTGATATTTGGCAACCGAGTAAATCTGCAGTATCAGACGCGTGTTCTTTAGTGCTGTGGTTGGAGATATCCTAACAGAATATTCACCCTCAAAAATTACACATTGACCGTTGTCTATACCGTATCAAACGACTTTAATCATAGTCTCTACGTGTTTTTTTATGTCGTACAACCTGTGAACGTTTTGAACCGCTAATTTTTATAAAAAGTAGCTTAAGCTTCACTGTATCCTACCTTTGCTGTCTCAAATATTTTTTTCTATAAACCCGCTGACAGTTTTTCCGTAAGCTTTTGAACTTAATCCAGCTATTTCATATCTAAACGGAATTTATTCTCAGTTTACTGTGTCATAAGCTCATTTTCTTGATCATGCACACAGGTACATAGTTGCTAGTTAACGGTTAATACAAATGTGTCCAATTTTTAAAAAGTTATTACATGTGCATCTTATTAATAAGACCAAATCGGCTGTTCTACGTATGTTGTCACAAGATTGCAGTGCTGTTGTCGGTTGACTTTTTACTTTATCACTCGATA